CGGCGCTAACACTGGAGGTGGGTGCAAAGATATCTGGACCCCTGCACGTCCTGAAAGAGACATTCAGACGAGTGGGAGCAACAGACGTATTTAATCCGTGCTGCTCCTGCTCCAGCTGCCTCTGTTGCTCCTGCTGCAACTGCAATGCATGGCTGATGCTTTTCTCCGCCCCTGTGTTGCTGATAAAACTGCAGCTTGGGCTTGGTAAGAATGGAAGCGCTGCTACGCAGGCGCACTTCACGTTGGCTGGAAAGACTGAGCGGACCGGTAACGGGCATGCGCAATAGGCCAGGGTCCAAAAAAGCTCAGTGAGCATGCGCTTCATATTCCTGGCGCTTTTAATGACCATCATGCATGTGTTGCCCTGCCTTCGCCTAGTTTATGCTCTCCTCGGGCTATCAGACTTCAGATGCAAAAGTCCAGATGACCGTGAGATGGCAGCAGAGAGTTGCATTTTTCTTTAGGTCTTTCCAAAGTCCAGATGACCGTGAGATGGCAGCAGAGAGTTGCATTTTTCTTTAGGTCTTTCCAAAGTCCAGATGACCGTGAGATGGCAGCAGAGAGTTGCATTTTTCTTTAGGTCTTTCCCGCCCCCCCCCAAGGGCCAGCTGGATTTTTTTTCCCACTGAGATATAGTAACCCCAAATTCCCGACGTCAAAGGTTCTTTGTTCTATGGAGGTCTATGGAAGGCTAAAAAAGAACGAGCGAACCCATCTATAGTGACGGAATCCGATCAGAACGATAAGGGAGGGGGGATTCTGAAGCGCGCCTGGAGAGATGATCTCAGCGCGTGGAGTGCGCATGCGTGGGTGAGTCGTGTGCCGTAATGGTGTATAGGCACAAAACGGACTGCTGCATACCTTTATTAGTATTCCTACTGGGGGGGTGATGACGGAAGGGGGCTTAGCGAATGGAGGTGCAGAGTGTGGTTGGAGGTTGGGGTTTTCCTTCCGGGGTTAAAAATTACGAAAAGGCACTAAAAGGGGCGGGGAGGGGGTTAGTCTGTACTTGAGATTGCCATATGTGCCTTTGTACAAACCGCCTAGTGATTTAAAATTTTAGTTATGGGCAAGGCTTGTTCGCATCGTCAGAGAACTGTGTTCAAACCCATTTTACTGGCACTGCCTTAAAAATGCTCGAGAAGGGAAAAGAGAGCAGTAGCATAGGACTCTATTCCTTTTTTTGCCCACCCATGAGTTCCATAATCACAAGGGTATCTTCAAATGCATGCTGCATGATATAGTTCTGCGATATTCGTGTAACTGTTGATTAAAATTAATTAAAAACGGAATAATATTGATTAATATTGATAAGTTCATCAGGCAAAAACTTTTGGGACATGAGATTTTATCACTAGATTTTATCAAAAGGAGCAAGAGCCCAGCATAGGACTGTCCTATCAAGAATGGAGAATGTGTGGCCTTCCAAAGGCTGTTGAACCCTACCTCCCATCAGAGAGCTGGTTTGGTGTACTGGTTCAAGTGCTGGCCTAGAAACCAGGAAACGGTGAGTTCTAGGCCTGCTTCAGGCATGAAAACTAGTTGGGTGACTTTGAGCCAGTCCCTCTCTCTCAGCCCAACCCACCTCACAGGGTGGTGGTTATGGGGAAAATAGGAGGCAAGAGTATTAGGTATGTTTGCCGCCTTGCATTGACCAAATATAAAGGCAGGATATAATAACAACAACAATGTAGTCAACATGGCTAGTAATGGTTCATGATGAGAACTGCAGTCTGGTAATACCTGGAAGTCTGTGTACTGCTCACCTGGCTATTACCTGGTAATATGGGTGCTTATGCAAAAGTATGTCCTACTGAGCTCAAGGGGGCTTCCTTCCAGTAGATATAGACTCTTGCTTAAGAAGAAATTATCTTGCAGGTGAGAGCTCACTTTGACAGATTGTTTTCAGAGAACAATTTTATATCAATTATATTTTCATTTGTTATTCCTGTTCTGAAATCTGATGGATTCAGAATGCCATTAAATTGGTCAGTTGTTAATGTTACATTTTAATAAACAGTTGCCATTCAAATGAAATTTTCAAGAAACTGATTATACTTTGTCCCCTTATGCTGTATTTATTCATTTCAGCTTCTAAAAGTGGAGAGGAAAGTCTTGTCTGTAGTCTACCAGACTGAAGTGGTGATGCAAAGAGTGCACCATAAAGCAAAAGCATCACCTTTTGTTTCCTCTTCCCTATTTTCCACTTTGTATAACAAATACTTAAATACAAAATGGAAGGATAATTAATCACTAATTTATATAGTGATTTATATAGTGATTATACTACTTCTTATAATGGTATAATAAGAAACCATTTTAAAATCCATCTCAAGCATTATAGGCCCTCCCATTTAAGAACTCAGGTTGCTGCTGCCTTCTCAAGGAATACAAAACACAGGTAGGGACTAAAGGATTGTTTTATTGCAAGTAGATTTCAGCCAATTAAGACAATTGATCAACTCTAAGGGACAGTGAAAAACTCTCAATGCATAAATTGATTCATACTGTTCTACCACACCACATATTGCATGTTTTTCTCTAAATCAAGTTTATGTTTTTCTTTCACACCCTTTGGAGGGCTGTTGAATCTCCATATTTTTCATATTAACCTTAGAGGTAGACAAAGCATTGTCCTTGAACTGAGAAGCCTCCTCCATTCTCATTTCAATTCCAGTTGCTACTTTGCTTGCTCCACTGGTGATTGGGTCTTCTTTTAATCCAAGGTGAGGCATACAGCTTGTTGGGACTCTTTTTACAAATCCAGGTTGTAGCATATAGATGGTTAATTAATGGTACTGATGGCAGTGATATACACCATTGTTTGTAACATTTTCATCAGAGAAAATAGGCCTTGATGTCTTTGTAATACGGTAGCCAGATTATTGTACCTCTTTCTGTGTAAGATTCTTTGTCAACTGTCCAAAGACCATCATTGCTTCAAAACATTAGTTCTTTTTAAAACTTAGGTTGCATTTTTGTCTCCTTTTTTTTTTCCTTTATCAATTCTCTAGTTGTCTCTTCCTACCCCTCAACTGCTGCTGTTTTCTTAATCCAACTTCCCCTCCAAACCAGTGATCTAGTGACCCACCTTTGAATTCAGGTTTTTATTGGTTCTTAGAAAAACTAATAAAAGTTGTCTCTTAATTCCACTCTGTGGGAACTGGTACCAACTCTGCATGTTCTGAGACATTTCCCGGTTAGAAAATCTATTAGTCTCTTACAGAGTCATCTATTGTTCTATCTGCATTTATAATAACTATTCCACTATAGTGGAATTTTTGTTAGAATGTGTGGTTTGTAATAAATAATTCATTGCCAGCCACCATATATTTTCTTCCCACTTACAATTTCTACAAATTCAAAAGAATCTGAACCATAAGCAAACCCAGCAATAAGCCTGCTGAAGTAGATAGGCATGTTAAGATTGTGAATGAAGTACTTTCCTATTTGGGAAAGAAAGTACAATAGATGAGGCTGTGGAAAGCTGGTGAAGGTTACAGTGCTAAACTTACTTAAGAATCAGTTTCATTGAGGCATTCAGTTATGTTGTTTGAAGACTGGCTGATGAAAAGACCACTGCCTGTATTTCTTGCATTCCCTCCAAAGGTACAGGTACTCCCTTTGAGAATCTTCCAATGTATGACCAAAGTTGGGCTGGCTGCATTTTTTAAAAATGCATAATCATTTTTAAAATAATTATGAGATTTAAAACCTGCCTTTCATTCAGGAGCTCAGGATGGCATTCATAGCACCCGTTCCTCCTATATTTACAAAAATAACTCTGTGAGGCAGAATGGGCTGCGAGACAAAATGACTGAACCAAAGACACCCAGGGAGCTTCTAGGCCGAGGTTGGCTAGAAACGCGTCCAGCACTCAGTTCCTACGCCACACTGGGTGTGCCAAGGAATACACATCCCTGAATGTGGCAAGGTAGCAATAACATTTAGATCCCATCGATTTCTGGATGTTTTGTAGTACATGCAAGATTGGCATTAAACTGCTTAAAACTGGTTGTGGGTGAAATAAATTCAGCATCACAGACTCAAGGGGGAATGATGGAATCGTCCTGGCATTTTTGTGTCAAAGTAAAGGAAGAGGCCTTTGAGAGCTGTGCATTCCTCATGTAGCTAGAGTTTCTTAAAGGAGACAAACAGCAGCAGTGTTCATTTTTCTGCTGGAGCGAGAGTGTGCCCCACCTTTTCCACATTGATGGGAGATGGTTGTATTGACCCTGGAACTACTAGAATACCTACTGGTAAGGGATCCTCTTTCCTCGTCTCTGTCACTAACAATACAGCTACTCTTCCCTATTGTTTTGTTCACAGAATGGTTTACCACAAAAATTGGTAAAGAGATAAAGAGGAGACTTTAACCACTGGGAAGTTGCGCTGTCCTGGAAATGGGGTATGCCTTGACTGATAATGTGGGAAACTTCTATACAATTTGCTTTTTGCATCCAAACTTCTTTTTTGTACATGGCCATGTATTTCCCTTCTTTTACATTTCTTTTCCCTGTGGATCCTAAAGGTGTAAATGTTGTCTGCGTTTCATAAAGAGAGTAATGTGTGGCTTTGTTTTTTCTCTACTCCTAAAACGTTTTATGGTTCTTTTTGTGAGCTGGCAACTCATCAGTTCTAAAATACTTTTCAAAAGTTGTTTGAAGGACAGTACAGTAAAGCTAAATAAAAACTTGCAGGAGGGGAAGATACCCTGACTTCTGTTTAGCCACTGCCTGAGAAAGGAGGGAGTGGGGGAGAAGAGGTATTATTAGGATTAATAATAGTCTCTAGGTTTCTGGGAATGATTTTACTAAGCTAAAGCAATCTTTAAAATTGTTGGCGAGGACACAAAACGTTTTGTTTTGTTTTAGAGGCAACTACTCTTCTGTCATTCTGAAAATGAAATAATCCAATAGCTGAACGAAGAGCAGAAGGTCTGATACACAAAAGCAGGTACAAAACCGAACAAGACCAAACAAAATGAACAAACTAGTTACAAAATGCTGTATGCTTTCCATTCAAGTATTCTGCAATTAACCAAGGTTTCAAGTTCAGTAACTGTCCATATATATCCATATAAGTAATCCTACAAACATTCCATCTAGGCTATACGCACATTTCAAATATTGATTTTTCCCCTTTCTTGCATTCTTGCATTCATCAGTTCGTCACGTGCAGCCTTTGCTATGTCTATTGAGGCATTTGCAGATGATCACTTTTCCAGAGCAAATAGGCACATCTCCTTCCCTTAGGCTGTAATGTTGGGCCTACCTCCTATAATAATAATTTATTATTTAGTTATTTATATATCAAATTTGTCACTGCCCATCTCATTAAGAAGCAACTCTGGGGGGTTTACAGAAAAGATAAATATTAATTAAAAATACAGTGTAACAGTTTTTTTTTTTTTTTATCCGCACTCAATCGTGGCCAATTCTGCAGCGACTGCCTGGACAAGTCCCTGCAGTTTTCATGGCAAGGTGTTTCGGAAGTGGTTTGCCATTGCCTCCTTCCAAGAATTGATGGTAAGTAGAGAGTATTAGGCTCGGGAAGCGTCATCAGGGCACCAGCCACCCCCAGGATTGGTTAAAACTCTTCTTGCCCCATGCAATCTGGCAGAGCCAGGTCTTCAATTCTTTCTGGAAAGCCGGGAGGGTAGGGGCCTACTGCATCTCTGGGGGGAGAATATTCGAGAGAGGGGGGCAATGGCAGAG